GTCCTCAGCCAAAAGCCACCATACCTGTGACACAACGTGGCCCAATTCGTACCTGAAGCTCAGCAGACGCCCTCTTGATGCTCGAGGCTCACGTTCCTCGAGCCCAGAGTTTTCGCGAGCTGCGATTCCCTGCACGTTCATGCCCGCCAGTGGCTCCGTTAGAAGTCACCATAATTCAAAATTCTCATGAAAACCACGGTTTTGACCATGAATAGCAATGTGAGAGGGACTCCCTTACTCATCCAACGTGCTTTTCCCGTTAGAAATGATGACAACCCGAAGCGGAGAAGCCTCTCCCTCAGCCAGGCCTTCCTAAAACAGACTTCAGATAATGATAGCAGCTGGAAAGGCAAAATGACCTTGAGTCTCAGGGTTTCGCGTGAAGACCTGCCGCCCACAGACCCAGGACAGGGCTGTGGCCCGAGGGACTGGCCACCAAGACCCCGAGCCAGAAAGGAGCACCCCTCCACAGCTGTCAACAACACCCTTCCTGGGTTTTGGTCATTTTCTCCTCCCTTCCTGCTCTCACCTTGCCCAGCCCACCTTGCTGTCAGAGCACCTGAGGTAGAGGGCAAGGCTGAAGAAGACAACAAGAAAATCCTGTTTTGTGTCTGAAGTCCTTTGCCCTGTTCCAAGACAAAGGTCTGGGCTTTTGCCTTGATAAAGGGGCCCCAAATTGGCATTGCCGGCAACCTCATGCTGCACTCCCAGCTCATTCTACTTCACAGAGCTGGAACCCCAAGGCACTGCCTTTAAAAGAAAAAGTTCCTGATCATTGCCAGAATTTCAAGGTTCTCAAGACAAAAATAAAAACAAATTCTTTTCAAAACTAAAAAACATTTCCAACCCTACAGTGTCTACTGGAGATTAACTGAACCAACACACCGGACAAAAATGGCTTCCAAACCATGGTGAACAACAAAAAAAAAGGTTGATAGGTTAATGGCCTTCATTGTTGTTCCCTTTTACATCACTAGTATTATGTCTTTTCTTTCTTTCTCTCCCTTCCTCTCCCTTTTTTGCATAAATTCTGTCAAATGTGTAGATAGAAAAAAATTAGAGAATGTAAGAGGAGGACCAACTATTATAAGATGTTATCCCCAAACTCATTCTGACTAAAAAAACAACAAAAAAAAAAACAAGCAAAACTAGCACTTGTGGAACCCTCACCAGCTGAGGACATATAATCATGCTATCTGTAGTTTTCTTGCCTTCTCTCAAGCACTGAGCTTGATCAATATTTAAATAAGCACTTGGCTTTCAACTTCTCTAGGTTCAAATATTAAGCAAAGTATACTCTAGCAACCTTAAAAGAAGCCCATGAATTTCTGCAGCAGGAAGCTATCAATTGTGTAAATAATCCTCTGCATCTGATTGATTTTGCTGCTCCAGGTATAGGTCACTCAGGACACTGAGATAGTGCTAAGCTTGGCCGCAATGGCCATTGGTTTAGAATTCAAAGACTACACATTCTCCGTCCCCAGACAAGAGACATTAGGCCAACAAGAAACCAGGTTGGTAATTCAGTTGGGAAAATTCTAACTTGCCGGTGAGCATTACACCAGTGTCCTAGCTCACCTCTGTCTCTCGAGTTATTCAGTCTCCATTCATCCTCAGACGGAACTCCTCCATAAATCCTTTCTTCATTGTCATGGTTTCTGCCACCCTCTGAATTTTGGCCAAGTTTAATGTTGTCACTACACAATTTAGCCCCCGATTCCATCCGCTGGCATATGTGGGACTATTACGGGCTTTTATCCTCCTTCACTTGTCATTTCAAAGGACAAAGACTGTTTCTTACCCCGGTCATCTTCACAGTCCTGACACCGGACACCTCTGCAGTCATTAACACTAGTTTTCCTAAGTGAGCTATCACACCAGTTAATGCAGGTTGGAAAATGTTTATCACAGTTTTCAAACTTTCCTTTAATGGATTATAACCACTCCAAATTCTATTATCTATTTAATTCTTTCCTGCTCTGCATTCTATTTCCTTTGCCAATAATTCTCAAAGACTGAATAACTGTATATCTAATGTTTGGACATATGAGTTAGGGAAATTACCAGTACTTCCAAAATAAAAGCACGAGAGGAGAGAGAGACTAAAAACTTGGGGTATGGGGCACAAGTTTTGGAACTAGAAATAGGATGAGCTTGGGAAGAGCCAATCTCTCTAAGCCTCCATTTCCTCAACTGTAAAATGAACATAAGAATAGTATTTATAATCATTGTGAAAATTAGCTGAGTGAAGGTGATTATGGAACACATAATAAGGATGCAGAAAATGCTGGCAATTAATATTCCATATTAATATGGATATATTAGGAGAACACTTAAGAGCTTTGAGAATTAATAGAGCATGTCAGACTCCGAGGTCAGAAACTAGTTCTGGATTATACACTTGGTTGCTCAGACTGAGAAGGTCATGCAACACAGAGAAAAGAGGCCAAAATGATCAAAACCAGGGGACAAATCTTGTGGGGAAATGCTCAGTTTGCATTCTGGCTACATATTAGCATCACTTTGGAAGCTTTAAAAAAAAAAAAAAACTTGATCCCCACAATCCCACCCCAGACTTAATTATTTCAGAATCTCTAGGGCATGGGCCCATATGATGGATTTGGCTTTTTAAGCTCCCCAGGTGATTCCAATGGCCAGCCAAAGTTGGGAACAGCTGGATTAAAGGAACAGAATTTGTTGCCACTGGAAAAGGGTAGAGCCAGCCCTCAATTATATGAGGTTAAGGGAATGAGCTCTTTCATTTCTACTAATGATGAACAACCCTGTTTAAATTGCAGGTGCTTTGTGTAATCACTTGGCGATCTTGTCAAAATGCAGATTCTGACTCAATGTCAGATGGAGGCTGATACTCTGCATTTCTGACAAGCTCCAGGTGGTGCCATTGCTGCTGGTCTGTGGACTGTACTCTGGGTAGCAAAATAATATAGAGATCTAAAACCGATATTAGGAACAAAAAGTAGAGAAATGCTCTCATTATTACAGAAGAACTCTTGACATCTCTGACTATTTTTAATCAATATTTATTGTGCACCAACTATGCACAAAATATGTTTTGCAATCTTTTAAGAAAAGAATAGACCATCTCCAGCCAGTTTGAAGTGTGAAGACTTCCCTACAGGGAAGGTACAGACTCTCAAACAGGACAGACCTCTCCACTAGGCACAGCGGGCTCAGTGCCCAAAGCCCAAAATACTTTCAGAAGAAGCTAAATGTTTTAATTCCTTTTATAATCAAAATGAAAAAAAATCAACTTTTAGGTCAAAGAAATGTTTTAACATATAATATTAATATATTTGTCTTTATAATAATGGAGTCATAAAATGTAATTATTCTATTTTATTTTACTTTATCTTTTATGGAGGAAGTGACCCATGAAGACAAAAGTGTTAGGGCCTCACAGAACTCATAACGTGGCTGTGTGCTCAGTCCATTTTTGCCCCAGGTAGTTTTAGGAAAGCACATGAAGCCTATTGTGGCTGATATTTGTGTAGTGATATTTACACAAATAACAGGAAGATATTGGGAAAAATATAAATTGCGCCTTGAATGGAGTCATATAACCACACAGAGTTGATCACTTCCCACATGCATGATTTGCGGAACACTGAGAATGCTCCATTGACAAACAGTATTCCTCTTTGGCTGGTTCCTGGACTCTAAAATTCTACCATTAGAGATTTTTTCTCACCTCCAGAGCTAGTCTTTAAAGACCTACACTATCTAAAGACCCTTCCTTTGTAACATCGACATTCTTTCAGCCCCAATTCTTTTTACCTTCCAGATCCAGGACCCTATCTCAGGAACTTAGCAGAAAATTTTCTTCCAAAAGAAGAAAACAATGATGAGATTCCATTTTGTAAGAAACACCAATTCTAATGAGTTCCTAAAAATTTAGATGGGATCATTCATGGCTAAACCACATCACCGTCATCACTGTTACTCAATACAGTCACCTCAACAAAAATTACTGATTATTTTACTGTCCACTGCACTAGCTGTTAGTCACATGCGACTACTTAAACTAATTAAAAGGAAATAAAATCTAAAAATCAGTTCCTCATTGCATTAGCCACACTTTGAGTGCTCAATAGCCACATGTTACATATTGGACAATCCTGATACAGTA